AGTATAGACTAAAAATGTAACACAGCTGTCATGGCATAGCCAAAAAGGAGACTGGTGGCGCGAGCCAAGGGTGGATCATTACCGGATGAGCGCATTGTCATTACCAGGAGCACAGGACAAAGAAACACGTATGGAGATTATTAACTGACAACACAAGTTATTTCCTACCATCAACCAGGGAAGCAGAACTAGGACCATACAAGAAAAGCTGGGAGTAGACCCATAAAAAAAAAAATATAAACACAGGCCAAAAAGGTAGCAGACAAGACATTTCTTTTCAAAGCGATTCATCACAAATCATGACGTGCAAATTAACCACGGGACGTCTGGAGTATTTGTTGTACACAGACCACAATGGCCGACTAGGAAATAATAGACTCCCCGAGCCAGCAGATAAAGTTCCAAGGCCTATTTCAACGACAGCAGTAAAAAACAGTGGGTACAACCGATCCACATACGTCGTGCAAGTTAGTGTCCCTTAAATAAATATTTGTTTGGCAAGCTTTTGGCAGATGGCAATTCGAATTGTGCTCTGGACTGTTTTTATTGGTCTCCTTTTCACCTCCACTAGGTGCAGGAAATAAACTTCGGTTTGTCTTCTCAAACTTAGGATAAGCCGATCCATAGCCTCTTGAACAATGATAATGACCGGCCAGATATGCCACAGACTCCCTTTACCACTGAGGCTTACCACATTCCCATATGCAAATTACAATGTGCAACTAAAACTCAAAGCATCGGATCATAAATCCTGTCATGTCGACGTTGCCTAGGCCAGGACTGAAACCAGGACACAGGGGGGCGGTGCATCGTCAGAAGAGAGCAACCAAACTGCCACCCAAAACCTACCATCGATGGAATTCACTCGAAACATTGCATTACCCTCTGCAAACTTTTCTTGTGATGTTGTTGAGAGCTTGTGGTTATTTTTACGAATGACTAGCCTAGGTTAAGAAAACGTTGGGCAGAGGCATATAGCCGACAGGTGGCATCCTGCCTCCGTACGAGACGGCGATGCCTTCGCCAGTATTTACGTGAAACAGGTGCAAGGGTGTCAAAGCACGCAAAGGCAAGCGAACGGGCAAGTGTTATCGGTGAGAGGAGCTTATGAATGAGACTAGGAAGTTGTAGGTGTTGATTCTTTCAACAGCTATACCCAATACTTTGCTGGTGCATTTGAGAATGCATAGTATGGTTCTTCAAACATAAAGCCAATCTAAAAAAACTGTCCATGAAATAAAGCTGCGCTCTCGAGTAATGTCACTTCAGCCAGTGTCGTCCGCTATCGCCGACGAGCCTCACGAAAGAATGCAATAAGCGCTTTCTCTCCACCACCTCGCTGCAACTGTCCACGACACAGTAAAATCAAATTGCCTACAACTGGAAAGAAGCAAGCCCCCCCCCTTCCTATCCTCCACCGAGCTTTCGTGTCTGTTTCCTGCCAGCAGGAATTTTTAGGAAGGCATGGAGGAAAAGGGCAGGAATATCAACCAGGCAGAAAGTGTTTTCTGGGTCCCGTTTAACTTCAGAACCCTAGCAGTCGCCAATGGAGAGCCAGCGCAGCTTCATGCAAGAAGATAGTTACCCAGGAACCGAACCCCAACAAGTAAACATAAGCCACGTGATACAAACCGACAAATGACCCCATTGTCTGATGCAGCATCAGACAATGGTGTAAAAGAGTGCCGATATACGCTTGAAGTACTGCCATATCAGCTTCTGTAGAGCCGATATGGAAGCGAAGGTCGTATGGCCAAGAGGGCACGCAATCGACGTTCTGCAGCTTTTTGGATTGGCTCGGTGTCCTCTTGGAGTCAATCACAGCCGTGGAATATTTGCAGCCAAATATAAATGAGTAATTGTTTTTTTTTTTTGTATTTTTATGTAACCAATTTCCTACTTTGGGAAAAAAGGAATGAGTGGCATACTTTATCTAGAGCTACAAACAAGCAAGAATATTTAGCTCCTCCAATCAAATGAGGGCACTACACTCGTTTTCACATCAAGTACCGTAGTAAAAATAAGTCTGGCTCCTCGCAGAACATTACTAATTTACCCGTTTATGTGCAGAGTTAGGACATATGTAGGTGCGTTTTATGAGATTGTTGTTTTCTTATCGAGACAAACATTTTTAACGCCAAAAGCATCGCTTCTTCCCCCGACAACCAAATGTTGCAAAAACAACTTTGCACAAAACTTGTATTTTTTTTTTTTTTTTTTTTTTAGAGGTGAAAACAAGTATAGTAGTCGTGCAGTAGTTCCTAACCTGCAATAGGAGTGTTCTGGGGCATCACAAGAAAAATAATCTAGCCGACTCATTGAATTAGGATGGATTATGTTGTAAGCCTACACTGTAAGGACAGTTTTGCAGACAAAAAAAAAGTCTGCACACTGATGCTCTTACACCAGTGATGTCTGAGGGAGGGGCGACACTGAAGGATAGAAATTTACACGATGCACCAGGGTTTGATCAATAAGCTCTCGACTTGGGGCAAGTATAAGAAAGTGGGGCTAGTATAGGGCGACACTGAAGGATAGAAATTTACACGACGCACCAGGGTTTGATCAATAAGCTCTCGACTTGGGGCAAGTATAAGAAAGTGGGGCTAGTATAGGGCGACACTGAAGGATAGAAATTTACACGATGCACCAGGGTTTGATCAATAAGCTCTCGACTTGGGGCAAGTATAAGAAAGTGGGGCTAGTATAAGAAAAAAAAAAAAAATAAGGAAGCAAAGAGGTACAACTACACTCAAGGAAAAAAATAGTAATTCAAAAGATCATGCACTTCCTAAAATGGCTGCCAAGTCACTTGTGCTCCACTCTTTAGGACCGTTCCTAAAGTGTGTTCCTTGTTCTTAAGGCCCGTCCATACTCCTGCAACCGAGTATGACCGAGAAAGACCAGACTTGTTGAAACCTCTGAAAAATTTCTTAGGACGAGAGAACATACTAGCACCATCTATGCGGTGACCCTGGAACTGCATTTCACAACAGCGAAGGTTTTGCGGGATTTCCGAGGTCAAATGTGCGTAATGCCTATAAGAACGGCTCATTTATAACACTGACAAAAGTTTTTTGAGCCAAGAGACACAGTATAGTGCGCCAGAGAAATAGAAAATATGCCGGACCGCCAAGCTTACGCTGGTACCCAATAGATGGTGCCAGGGTGTCCTCTCGTAAGAGGTTTTAAGGCACCCCGTTATAAGAGGTCGCAAGAGTGAAAGAGCCTTTAAGCGCCGTTCACACATGTGGAACCGAGTAAGACCGAGAGAGACCAGACCGGTTTTAAAGCCTCTTGCGACGTCTTAGGACCTGCTCTGCTGCAGCGCATCCGGTCCTAAGACGTCGCAAGAGGCTTGAAAACCGGTCTGGTCTCTCTTGGTCTTACTCGGTTGCATATGTGTGAACGGCGCATTAAGGCTCGTTCACAAATTTGCAACCGAGTACGACCGAGATAGACAAGACCGCTTTTTAAGCCTTTTGCGACGTCTTAGAACTGGATGCACTGCTACGGAGCTGGTCCTAAGATGTTGCAAGAGGCTTAAAAACTGGTCTTCTCTCTCCGTCCTACTCGGCCACAAATGTGTGAACGGCGCTTAAGAACCGAGCTTCTTAAAACCTCTTACAACGGGAGAACACATCGACACGCTGGCGCCATTTATGTGGTGACCCTGGAACTTCATTTCACTAGAGCGAAGTTTTGGCGGTATTTGCAAAATGTACAGTCGGCAGCAAACGTTTGCGGGGTGCAGGACCGTCAGCCGAAATGACTGGTTGTGCCTTCTGACGGCGCACGACCGCTCTCAAGATTCACGCTTTGAGAATGTGCTTCCTTTTGCACTTGCAGTCATGTCTTTTTGACTCCCTTCCGCCCGACGTGTACGAGATAACCAGGACCGGCACAAGGTGACGCTTTGTCAGCCATCATGCCGCGCGTCTGCCTCAGCCACCACGATAGGTGATGGAGCTTGCACATGCTACAGATAACATTTCGCGGCACCTTGTGCCAGTCTCTGTTATCTCGTGGGCGTCAAACGGGAGTGAATGAAAACACATGGCAACGAACAAAGAAAGGAAGTGCATGCGCAAAGTGTGATTTTTGAGAGCCACAATGCGCCGTGAGAAGGCGCAGTCAGTCTTTTCAGTTGGCGCTCCCGTGCCTGCAAACTTTTGCTGCCGACTGTACATACTACTTATGAAATATGTTCATTCATAACATTGACAAAAGCTTTTTGAGCTAAGAAAGAATGATACGTGAAAGAAACTGAAAATGCATGGGACCGCCCAGCGTTCCACTGCTACCCGAAAGGTGGTGCAAGTGTGTCCTCTTGTCGTTAGATATTTTAGGAGGTTTCAAGGCACTCGGTTCTAAGAACTCACAAGTCTGTGTTCAGGCTTTTAGGAACATGCTGTCAGCTCCTACAGTTCTTGACACTACTATGATGAGCAAACTCCATGATACACAGATCACAGAAATTCTATCAGATATGAAGTAGGGCACACTTTTGCCTCGTAATACCACTGTCGCAAGTTTCACTTTAGGAATGGTAATGAGTACCACTCGGCGACTCTTTGAACGACCAGCGCTGGTTAGGGGAATGTCTATGGCAGTTTTCGGGTGTTGATGGCATGCAAACCTCCAAGCCTCGGTATTGACACGAACCATCAGTGCGCGCTGAGCCAGGCCAACTGTTCTAACGTCGCTACTGTCAAGTTAGAAATGCACGAGCCTCGTAGCTGCGATCCTTTCGAGCGCTGTCCAGCACGAAGCGCGACGCGGCTATCGGGGCAAATCACAGATTGTACACAATATCATTCAGACCAGCCGGGTCACCGGGAGCCACTTCGCAGGGAAAGAACGCCACATGCAAGATTTCGGCCCGACAAAAATAAGATTTCCAAGCACCAGAGAGCTCGATGAGCCGATCTCTCGAAACTCCGTAGTAAGAAAGCCGAAAGAAACGGCCGTATGAAGGCCCGTTTCTTCCTCAAACTCACCTTCAAATCCTCCGATATGAGAGAAAATGCCGTGGAGGCGACGCGGTCTCAGGATGTGTGTCCGGGGATATTTCATTTTCTAGTTACGAGGCTTCCGTTAAAGAAGAGCTGCGCTACCGCGTCACTGCGCGTCCGTGCGATTTCGATCATTCCGTTCTCCATCGCTGCGTTCCGGGTCTTCTACAGCTACACTATCTACGGTGGGCGTAACCAAATAGGCTCCTCGCTCGCTCATTCAAACCTGATCTAACTCCAGCTGCATATTTGGAAAGCTACGACGTCAGGCCCACGCTTTGTTGATGTGGGAAGGCCTCAGCCAAGCAGGAAAGAAAAATTAAAAAGAAAAGATATACACGAAACGCAATATGGCTGCCGGTCTGCCTTTCCAAACCGCCGCAACTAAGCCTAACGGCGGGTAGGTGTAGAGGCATGCAGGTTACGTAATAACTGCGTCGGAAATATACCGTGACATCTCGATAATACCAGCGCTTGGACATGCGTACACAAACACAAATTTGTCCAAGTATCTTTGCCACATTTAAACCCCATATTGTCAATATTCAACTTCCCAGGACACAAGAAAGAACCCTGCCAACATGTCCTATTATATTTTTTAAGGAGGGTTTTGGTTTTAAGGTCTTGGAGCCTTCTTACCTCTGTGGATATCAAGGAGGCTTCAATTTTCCGGGCAGAAAATATGAGAATTTGAAAGAAATTAACGTGGTTTGTAAATTTGCGACTACATACACGGTTGCTAGACGACAACGAACCCTGACCCTGACAAAGCCAAATGGGGACGTCACCCAAATGCAGCTTTTCAACCGGCGGCGGCGCGGCGGTCGTTTTCAGTCGGTGACGGCGTCGGCGGCGAAGCGCCGGATAACTATCGGCGGCGTAGCGCCGGATATTTATCGGCGGTGGCGTGGGTGCAGCTAGAGCACTATATTCGCGACTCCAGCGACCTATAGGGGGCGCCACCACCAAACAAACATGGCGGCTGAGTCCAGGTAGACCTGTGCGCCGCCGCGCCGCGCCGCCGCCGCCGCCTGTTTTGCTCTCGCCGCCCTGCGCCGCCGCCGGAATCCCCAGAGCCAGCACGCCGCCGCCGCCGCCGGGCAAAAAATCCAGCGCGCCGCCAGCGCCGCCAATTTTTTTTTTTTTTTTTTTAGGGGGGGGGGGGGGGGGGGGGGGTGCGTAGCATTGGTGTTTCTTTTTTTCTGCTTCTGTATCAGTCTCACCTACTATATTATGCATAAAAAAATGAATAAATACACCGGTGTCTGTATGTTTTTTCCCTTTCATTTTTACTCCTTTACACGGAACGATAAAAGAAATGGACAAAACAACAAGTCTCGAACACAGTTGCTGGTTTATTTAAACAACGAACGCTCTTATATATACCTCAAGACCCTCACCACCAATAAAGAAACACCTCCTCTTAACTAGGTCACCGAGAACCGGACACTCACAGAACCCATATGGTTCAGGATTCAGACAGATCCAAATGATTCACACCAACCAGCTACCCTGATGACCTCGCTTGCGGGCTGACCAGCCACATGCGATAACAGGCAACTCCAGCTCCAGCAGAGCTCTTACAATTTTCGGAAAACCCACAAAACAAGACCTTAGAGACACAAAATACGCTTCATATCACCGTCCAATGCCAAGGACAATGTGCTTATACAATTACCAGAGGTCGAAATACGCATGGTCTCCCTTAGAACTCTCCTACCTTTGCTGATTGTTGGGCGAGTTGGTATTGTACGTGAGAAAACATGATTGCGCTTTAAGACATAGACAGAGGAAGAACACCACAGAGCGCTTACTTTCTACTGATTTAACCCAAGAGCCTCAGTGTAGATACACACTGCGTCACCGCACCACATCTCAACCAATCCGTGGCCCCGCCGTAGGCCGCAAATACACTGTCTCTTTTTAAGCCAAGTCAATTGAAGCCACGCATGACTGCGTGTGCAAACCATCATTTGCTTCTTCCACTGTTCTCGCTAGGCACTTAGGCGGACGCCATCAATAGTTCCGGCACGTGTTGTAACGTGTTTTTCGTGGCACCCCTGAGGACCACCCGAAAAGGAGGTTAACCTTTCTAATTTGTGCCTAGCTTTGGAAACTAAATTTACACCGAACCTCTCTGCCACTGATATAAAGTTAAGAGAGCTAGATTCCAAGGTATAGTAAGGCACACACACACCATTCTTTACAACCGGTTTTTCCACAGGAGCCGGATTAAACGTTCCTAACACCTTGAGCACAACTCTAACAATCACATATCCTCGTGTAATTGTTAGAATAGTTGTGAACCAAAATGGAGCTTGGCAGAAGGTGTCGTCAATTTTTATCCAGAAATGCCTGATAGGAGCGGAGCAACAGTCCATTGTCACTCAAAAACTCTGAGCAATTGATTGAAATATTGAATCCGCATCATGGGAGAAGGTGTGATGGGACACCTGTAGACATCAATGCCATTACTCTATGGATAAGTCGGAGCTGTTAATAAGGGTCAGGAGGTGGTGTGATGATCATCTAGTGAAGTTGCAGTCTGCCTCTGGGATTGATATAGATAGTTTTATGAGCATTATAGAGTTTTATTTAGAGTCCACTGCCGTAGACTTTGATGGTTCTCTTTTTATTCACAAAGAGGAAGTGTGCATCGGGTCGTGAATTGCTCCAATGTTGTCCGAGATTTTTTAAAACGAGATTGATGTTCACGTTGACACGGTTGTGCGGTCCTTGTAGACTGGACATGCACAACCCTGCGGTTGCAACAGTCGAATTGAGTGCTTATAGGCCTCCTGTTTCACACGGAAAAGGACCTGTGCTGGAGGTGGGGCAAGGAATCAGCAAAGCCATTTGTTGGCAGCGTCTATGTTAGAAGTTGACAGCTGTCACTTAAAAATAGCTAAGAGTGGTGTAATTGCGTCTGCGAAAGATAACGCCTGTAAAAAATCTCGTATGCTTTAGGTTGGAGAGCCAGTTGAGTTGCAAAAGATGCGTCGTTTGGAAGCGGGCCACCACCACGATGTAATTGTTAGAGTCGTGCTCAAGGTGCTGAAAGTTTAATCCGGCTCCTGTGGAAAAAACGGTTGTGAAGAATGCTGTGTGTGTGCCTTACAACCATGGAATCTCTCATAACTTTATATCAGCGGCAAAGAGGTTCGGTGTAAATTTATTTTTCAAAGCTTATCACAAATTAGAAAGGTTAACCCCCTTTCTGGTGGTCCTCAGGGCTGCCAGAAATAAACATAAGAACCCAGATGTAACTTTTCAGGCAGGAGTGGTGTACGGGACCCTCTCATTTCGTCGAAACTCGTTTCGTGGAATTACGTATCGTGGACAACTTTTCATGGGCAGACGTTTCCCGGACGTTTTGTCGACACGATCGTTTCATCGACACTCGTTAAGCGAATTGCACGCTGTAGGGACATCTCGTCACGCGTGTATCATATTCATATTATAGTAAGGGTTGTGATGGAGTTGCCTGTTATCGCATGTGTCTGGTCATTCATCAAGCGAGGTCGTCAGGGTGGCTGGTTGATGTGACCATGAATCATTTGTATGTGTCTGAGTGCCCGGCTTTCAGTGACCTACACTCGAAAAAAAAAAAAGGTGTCCCATAGAATGCACCCCAAAACTTCAGTTCGACGTACAGCGCACTGACGTCGATTTGGGTACAAACTTTCACGAGAGGCTCGATAGCCGTGGCGTACAACTTATTAAAATAGCTAATGTACGTGTCACTGACTACAAAAAAAAAAAAAAAAAAAGAAACCTCGGGGGTTTTTGGCTTTACTGCAAAACCTCGGTGTTTTTATTGTGTGGTCTTTGATACGTACTTTAGTTATTCAATAAGTTATATGACACCGTTATCAAGCCCCTCGTAAAATTTGAGGCCGTCTGTTCGTCTATAGTGCGCTGTACGTCGAACTAAAGTTTTGGGGTGCATTATATGGGACAAAAGGGTGTAAGGTGATACACTTCTTTTTAGGTTGTGGTGGAGTTTTTTGCTGTTTTTTTTTCTTTTTTTTTTTTTTTGTGGCGAGAATCTTGACGTATATATAAGAGCGTTCGCTGTTCAAATAAACTATACCCGTTTTTTCAAGAAAAAAAAGAAAGTTTTCAGCATTCTTCGTATACACGACGCGAAGTCTTACGAGATTTGGTTGTCGGAGGAAAAAAGCGATGATTTTGGCGCTGAAACGTGTACGTCTGGATAATATATATAGTAGAATTCACCTACATATATCTTAATTCTGCACATAAAGGTGAAAAATAGTAGTGGTTCGCGAGAAGTCGGACTTTTTTTTAATTTTTTTTTACTAGGGTTCTTGAGTGAAAACGGGTATAGAAGCTGTGTTTGAGACATCTCGTCTTGTCCGTTATTTTTATCGTTCCGTATCTTGAGCACCTATGTTCTTCTTGCTCTTTCCCACGCCGGGATGCAGCATCGGGGGTCGAAGTCGAGCTGCAGTCGGGCTCCCATCCGGTCGAGGCGGGGAGGCTCTCCTTACGGGTCTTTGCCGCCAGCGTATTAGCTTACACTCCCGAGCTCATAATCTTTGCGTCCTCACATATTTTTGTTAATGTTGTTGTGATCCTCTGTTATGCGTCTAGCCATCGTGGAGGGCGCCGTCGGCGTGAAGCGCGTGTAACCGGAGGATCTGCGCGGCGCAAAGCGAGTTGCGCTGAAATCGACGTCAATCGCTAATTGTTCATGGGGAAAAAAAAAAAAAAAAAAAAAAAAGTTGTCGCGCGGCAGTTTGGCGGCAGTCCGGTGTGCCATGCGGGTTAAACCTGGAAATTGGTGTAGGTTTGCTTGTCCACGTTGGTGGTGATAATTCGTACGGTCCGTGGAAAGGCGGGCCAAGTTTCAAGGTACGAAGGCCGTTCGTGTACCATACCCTATCCTTGACGTTGTATGGAGCTGGTCGATGTTTAGCATCGTAGGACGCTTCATGCCGTGAAGGTAGTAAGCGAGGTTCGCGTTTGCAGCGTCGTGGTTCGCGTGGACGTCGCCGACTTGGTCGGGAAGCCGGGAAAATTCCATTGGTCGACGTGGGACAAGGTCGAACGGTACGTCTGGAGTCCGGCGTGCGGCTGCTCGTTCACTTGAAAGCTGGTTATAGGCGCTCCAATGGTCGATGTCGCCGTAGACGTTCTTTCGCAGACATGAAAGGATTTCTCCGTTGGCGCGTTCGACAAAGCCGTTAACTTCGGGAGCGTAAGGTACTGTTAGGATGTTCTGAATGTGCCTGTCAGTGAAGTACCGCGACGCCAAACGTGAGGTTAGGACCCTGTCATTTTCGGTGATGACGGCTTGCGGCGTACCGAATGAGAGTACGAGTTCTAAAAATCGGAAGACGTGCTCGGTCGACTTGTCAGG